TTCCAATGTCAATTTTCTTCACCATCATAATTGCCATACACCCTTCTCGAGTAATTGTACATGGTCTTTTAACTCCATTTTTATTGTTCATATATTTCTTCTCTTGATGTCTTTGTTTTGAACAAACATTTATCTAACATTAGCAGTTCCATCAGGCGTATAATAAAGGGTGCTGGCACACATATTAAAACCTACCCACCTAGCATATTCATTATAGAACTCCTTCGCAGATTCCCCATATTCAAACTGCATGCCTTCAAATGCTTCAAACTTCAAAATTTCATTAGATTCAATTTTACTATAGAATTTTACTATAGAATTTTCTATAGAATTTTACTATAGAATTTTACTATAGAATTTTCTATAGAATTTTCTATCATTTGAGCATCACCATTGGCATAATGAGAAGCTGCCACCAAATCTTCAATTATACACATCCTCACCTACAATAGGAGTAGTATCCTAAGAATCCATCCCACCATAACTCACAATATCATTGATGATGGCATGACTTTGATCTTTGTCAATATCCATGACAATATGTATGCAATAATAACATGTGTAGGAAACATCATTCCCATGAGAACTTTGCAATTTTAACAACAAGGACTTTGTGAAAGAACACAATTTTATTGAGGTAAGAACCAAAACTTCAATTGTCATTCATGCATATTCAAAATGTATATGCTAATTTTGACCCCATGAGTTCAACATACAACATAATAGCACAAGTGAAGTAGCACTTTAAGTACAAAAAAGTTCAGAGGAGCATTAACCCATGCTTGCGCCATTTATAGTATGAATGGATTCCAAACACACGGACATTGAATGGAATATTCATAGGGCTTGTAGCTAGTAGAGTTTATTAATGGGTCAATTATTTCCAAAGAAAATATCAACAATGAACAAATTTCTAAAGATTATTCAACAACTTCTATAAACAAATACCAAAATTTCTAGTTGCAAGACCCTGACTACTCTATCGATCACTAAAAAAAGAAATGAACCATTCACAAAAACAAAGCACAAATGTTTCTTTTTTTAAAGGAGTTTATATATAAAGTTGAAATAATGCATGCTTGATGCAAACAAATTGGGGTTTAATTTTTATTTTAGTTTATTAAGTTCAGGAATAGATATTGCCCTATGATAAGTTATTAATTTGAGGAAGGTAGATTTTATGTATGATGTGTTATTGCTCAATTGGGTTGGTTAGTTTCTAAAAGAGGAATATAAATAGCATAAGGTTTATCTAAGGGGGTTTATCTTTTCAATAGTTGGTAACGTTTTGCTTTTAGGGGAAGCTTTGACTAGGTAAAATGTGGGCTATCTTCTAGAAGGAAATATTTTTGGCATGTGAGATTAAGAGAGAGAAGATAGGGATAGAGGCATGTTATCTTTTGAAAGTAAATCTTTTAGCACGTGAAGTTAGAGAGAGAGAGTATTTTCCCTTTTTATGGGTTTTAAGTTAGTTGTTGTTTTTTTTTTTTCCCATTTAAAGGAAGAGGTCCATTTATTGTAATAAGTGAATGAGAATTGAGTAAATTTGGTCTTGTGAAAAGATCATTTTAGGGTGTATTCCCTTGCAGACTTTGAGAGATGCTATATTCTCTCAACCATTTTTTTTTATAGTTTTATTGTTTCAATTTTATTTCTCCCTGCATTAGTTGATATCAGAGTAAGTAAGATCGAGAGATCCAGTTTTTTTTTGTAATGCCACCAAAAGCTAATTAAGATAATCTTACTCATGCTATGGACGATCGTTGGGGACAAGCTATAGAAAATTTGATTAAAGCCCTAGAGGATGTTCGAACCGAAGTACGTGAAAGAAATCAGATGATGCAACGGTTGGATTAGAGGTTGCAACAGCTGGAAAACAATGTTCATCGCGAAGAAGGTGCTCGCAACCACATTGATCTTGTACCAGTAGTCCCACGACAATCCTAGGGTGTTGATTTCAAGTGTAACCAAGAAATTTCCAGGACAGATTCGTGTCTTATAGAGCGACCACGAGATTTTGGTATTAAAATCGATCTATCGAAATTTCATGGTGAGTTCCACATCGAAGCTTTTATTGATTGGTTAAGTGCAGTTGAGAATTATTTTGAATGGAACAAATTGCTAGAGGAACGTAAGGTTAAACTTGTTGCGACTAAGCTTTATGGGTATGCTGCAGCCTGGTTGGAGCAAGTTCAATAATCTCAACTTCGTAGTGGGAAGCAAAAAATTAGTGACTAGCAAAAGATGAAAAAGAAATTGAAAGAAAATCTTTTTCATGTAGATCATGAGAAAATTTTCTTTCAAGAACTCCAAACTCTTCGACATGTTGAAAAAAACAGAGTGGAAGAATATATTGGGGACTTTTATTGATTAGTTGCTCGAAATAACTCTAGTTGCTCATTATATAAATGGCCTTCAACTTTTCATTAGGGATGACATTTTTCTACATCTACCATGGACATTAAGTGAAGCTTTTCAACTTGTTTTATGTGTTGAAACTAAATACCAAGGGACCACTGATATACGATTTTACACCCAAAAGGAGGTTTTGCTCCAACCAAAATTTAATGAAGAAAAAAAAAGATACTACAAAGTTCACATGTTATCAATGCCATAAACCAGGACATCATGCACAAGAATGCCCAAAAAAAAGGATGGAGGTGTACTTAGCGAAGGAAGATGATGAAGTTCAAGAAGATGATCAAGTTTTAGAAGTGATTCTGCATGGTGATGAAGAGGATCCACTTTGAATCTAGCTCGAGGTCGAGCTTTTCCATCCCTGAGAGAATGATGCAAATAAATTTGGGGTTTAATTTTTATTTTGTTTTTTTAATTTTAAAAATATAAATTTTGCTATGATAAGTCAAGTTAATATGGAAGGAGGGAGGATTTTGTGTGTGATGTGTTATTGATCAATTAGGTTGGTTAGTATCTAAAAAAGAAGAATATAAATAGGATAAGGATTATTTAAGGGGGTTTATCTTTTCAATAGTAGGCAACATTTTGCCTTTAGGGGGAAACTTTGTGACAACCCAAATTTTTTTGAAACTGAATAATAATGATAATAATGATAATAATAATAATAATAGTAATAATAATAATAATAATAATAATAATAATAATAATAATAATAATAATAATAATAATAATAATAATAATAATAATAATAATAAAATAAATAAATTTGTATGAGAATCCATGGTGTTAGTAATACACTGTATGGACCATTCTTTTCATCTTCCCTGATATATTTGGAAAAAGGTCTTGCTATTTTGAAACTGGTAGGAGAGTGTTAGCCTTTTTCTAAATAAAACGTTTTAAAAACAATTTTTATTATTTGATGCTAATTTGTCTTTATAATGTAGACTTTATGGTCTATACATCATTTGCACCTTAAAGGTTGTGTTTCACCACCTTACGTGGTAACACCATTTCGTCGCCTCTCTCTCCCTCTCAATATGACAACTTAACAACCCCTCTCTCTTATCCTTAAGATAATAAGACCCCCTCTCTCTCTTACCTTTATTCCAATAAGACTCTCTCTCTCTCTTACCTTTATTACAATGAAACTCTCTCTCTTGACTGTTTCTTTTTATGTTTCTCTCTCTCTCGTATGGATCAATAGTGGAGACATAGAAGAAAGAGTTTTATCACGGTAGAGATTGTAGGAAGTGGGTATACTTGTATAAGCTTTATTTTGCTAATAAAAAGAGGCTTACTGCTCTAGAGAGAGAGAGAGAGAGAGAATTTGAAGGCCAAAGTAAAGCAGATGAACACATCAAGGCCCAGTTGCAACTCCATATTGAAAATATACAGAGAATTTTTTATTTCGTAACTCTAGCTTATGCGCTGCATAATTTGAAGTCTCGCCTTTTTGAAGAGTTGGACTTTTCTCATTTGATGGGGAGATTGATGCATGCGAAGGGCCAACCCAATACTCGCACTTCTCAAGAAAAGCTCGAATTATGGGAAAGACTCAAAATTCTTAGTTTCACAAGAACAACATCATCATTTTGGGCAACGACCATGCTTAACTTATATATAAGAGTTCAAGTCAATATATTTGGGAGACATCTCTATGTTTTTATAGCCCATGGTCTTGAGATTTCATTTTCACTGGATGAAGTTGAATGTCTTGATAGGCTTGGCCAGCATTAATCTAATTGGGGGCTGGGTTGCTTCTATCAATGGTGTTTCAGTGGCTTGGGCCTCAGACTTAGCCCTGGCCCGAACGGGGTGATTAGGCTGAGTCTGTATCCACCAAAGAAAGGTCTGAAAGTAAGTGACCTCATTGTCTTGAAAAATAATCCTTTTAATAAAATTGTGATATCTCTTTCAATCATCTTTATATTATAAGTTTATGTGTAAGTGATCTCATTTTTCCAAAAAAATCATTATTTGAAGAAAACTGATATTTCTATAATATTCTGAGATATTTTTGCATTAAATTGTAATGTTTCTGGTACTGTAAATTTTATGTATTTCTGTATTTATTTCTGCATAAATTTTAGATACTGTAAGTAGCAAATGTTATACACAATTGTTATGTGTGATCCTTATGTGTAATTATTATAAGTGTTATGCACAATTGTTTTGTGCAAGTGTTTTGTGCAAGTGTTATGTGCAAGCGTTATGTGCAAGTAATATGTGTAAGTGTTGTGTGCACTTATTATGTGCAAGTGATTGATAATCTCAAGGATATTTTAAAAACGTGAAATTATTGTTTCCTGATATCTACTACATCGATATGTGGCCTGTAATTGACACAATAATGTCTTTTGAATTTATGTGCATGGTAATAAGATTTGTGTGCATGGAAACATGCTTCGATAAGATATGGGCCTATGGAAACATGCTTATGTAAGGGCCACAATTCAACTGAGCCTAATTACTCGCGGAAGTAGAGAGAAGGAAGTTGAAAGAGATGGAAGCGCACGCCCGACGCTTAGGGCAAAGGATAGCGTCGTCCGTGTGATTTGGCCTAGTGCCGTCCATGTAACATGGAGGCAACGCCTCTTGCAAATGAGGGTACTGCTGCGGGAATAAGGGTCAATGGTATGCACAGGCCAGACTAACGCCACGCGAGAATGGGAGCATCGTCGCGAGTGTATGTCGCCGTCTGGAGCATCGCCGCAATTGTATTGTCGTCTAAAGCATCGCCGCAAGTGTTTTGTCGTCTGGAGCATCGCTGCGAGGGTATGTCGCAGTCTGAAGCATCGCCGCAAGCATGTCTCACCGTCTAGAGCATCGTCACGAGTGTATGTCCGCGTCTAGAGCATTGCCGCAAGTGTATTGTCGTTTGAAGCATCGCCGCAAGTGTTTTGCCTTCTGGAGCATCGCCACGAGTGTATGTCGCTATCTGAAGCATCGCTGTAAGTTTGTTGCCGTCTGGAGCATCGTCGCGAGCTTGTGTAACAATTCTAAACTTTCAAAAATATATGTATATAATAATAATAATAATATTAAGGTTGTTAACAGAAATAAATACAAATAATAATAATAATAATAAATATATATGAGTAATGATAATCATAATAATAATACTAATATACCGTTAGGATATTGTTGCTTTTATATTAACAATAAATAAAAGATATTATTGTTAATATATTTGAGGGTTCAATTTTACTTGAGTGGACTTTAGGTCCACCACCTTATAGTTTTACAACAACACTCCTTTAATCAACACCTTGCATTAAGGTGTTTTCTTTTTATTCGTCCTTCTCTCTCTCTAAACATTTAAAACCCTAGCCCTATTATGTTTCTGTAACTTTTTTCTGTGTACGAGGACTTTCTCTCTCTTTAAAGCCTACCCCAAAACCAAATCTCTCTCTCTCTCTCATCGAAACCCTTGCCTGTTTGTATTTTGCTCATGCTCTTCTCGAAGATCAAGCCTGCTCGAAGAATATCCACCCTCTTAGCTCTGCCCCCCAAAGAAATACACAGACAAATTGCACAATAAAACTGGTCTCTCACTTGAAATTCCATTTAAGATCTCTCTCTCTCTCTACAATCTTGCCGTCAATCTCTTCCTTTCTTGAATCAGTCCTCTCTATCCCTTTTTTTATCCTCGTTCAAGTAGACAATTTGTGCCATTTAAAGATTCTCTTATCTCTCTCTCTAGCCAAATTCTTATCGGAAGCTCCTTCTCAAATATTTTAGGTAAGTGACATCGTCTTCTTGAAAAATAGTCTGTTTTTAATAAATAGTGATATTTCCGTCTAGGATCTTTATTTTATAAGTTTTGTGTGTAAGTGACCTCATTGTCTCGAAAAATAATCCATTCTTTTTAAAAATAAAATGAAATAATTATTTCTGTATATTATCATGAATTTTAGGCACGATAAATTTTATGCGCAC